TTATGTTTTATTTCACTGTAGTTTATTTTTTATAGTCACTTTTACCTACCACCCCTAAATCACCTCTTAACTAAACATTACTTAGCGTGACGTAACAACTAAACTAACCTTGCACTGTTAGGTGTCACTTATAGTTAAGTTTAATGAAAACAAAAATATCAGGTATTAACTTAGCGATTCCTTAAAATTTAGGAGAGTTTGCCGAAAATAGATATTACTCAACTCTAGACCATTTTTTTGATGATAGGAAAAATGTGGGGCTTTGTGAGGATAAAAAGCCAGGAAGTGTGGGATTTTTAAGCCAATAAGGCTAACACGGCGGCCACCCTCAACACTGTGTGGAGGCACCGGGTCCTCTAAAAGAGAACTGCTCCGGAGTTAATGGTGCAAGACCTGTTACGACACATCCCTAGGGAGACGGGCGTCTCCTTTAACTCGTCGAGTACCGTCATTATAGACACAATTATAGAACAATAGGTTGCGATCACCGGTGACCGCTTGGTGTTTGACAGTTTAAGTCTCGCTGTATACGGCGGCACGTGACCACTGTGCCACTAGACCTAGATCGACATAGCCTTTTATTACAAAACCTACAACTAAGCCTTTATCTAAAATCTAATACAGCGCAGTATACACTCTGACGTAGGCGCACTATATTATAGGGCCTAGTACGACTGTGTTATATATGTAACGCAATCGAAACGTCACTGCGTTGAGCCCTCTAATTGGTTGGTTCAATAGACCTGGCCAATCAGAGCGCCGAACGTTTTGATCTCGTTAACGTAATGCTAACTCGTATTAAGCCTCTAGCGCTGACTCCTGTAACCTTGCACTGCATGCTGCCTTAATGAAGCGTTAATATCCTTAATGATAGTTTATCCCACTGATACCGCGCGACTACTGAGTTACTGAGCTACTGAGTATCAGCGCTGTATCAGTGGGGTGTTCAGTTACATTGTGCGTTTCATATTGTATTGTGTGTGATTTGGTAGCGTCTGCAGAAGAAGTATATTAGTGAGATTATTACGTTAGATGGCACATGACGTAA